GCACAGAGCTGCGGTTTGGCACACGGGGCCGGGGGAGCAGGCACACCGGCACGTGTGCACGGCTCCGCAGCTCTGTGCACGGCTCTGCAGGAGACGTCCATAGCTCAGCCCTCGGCGGACTTTTTAGGGCCCGCCTGCCGGTGTGCAGGACTTGGTGGAGGTGAATATTCCAGGACGTAATGAGATGCCATGTGACTGCGGTGATTCAGTCGGGCTCGCCTTCTGTGGAATTATTCAACAGACTGCTATTGGTAGAGCCGAACCGAAATACAGCCACAGCCGCAGATGGCCAAAAATAGCAGGATGACGAGCCAATCACAGACCTATTTAATAATAACGGGAGTAGGACCTCCTTACATGCCTGACTGGCCGGTTGCCCAGTGGTCAGTCAGCAAGGAAAAAATATCGACAGATTAGAAAAGCATGCGACGGCATCTCTCGTGCACAGACTGATGACATCGCGTTCAGTTTTTACACATCTAGTTTTTCATGAAGGGTCCAGGCATGGCACCAGTGTTTCGCGTGGTCACAGCCATTTTAACTGTAAGGGAGAGCTGGCTCTTCAAAGCCCAACAGTTTGTTATTGTCTGACAGGATTTACCAAATCCCCGCAATAATAATCAGCTACATTCATCTGCCGTTGAGCCATCTTGCTGCACCGTAGGCGTTCGGCCGGCCACATTGCTCAATATCAATACACCAGCCACAGGCTTCGCCGTATGAACTTACCATACCAAACGTTACATAACGCCTGCCCCCCGGGGCGTATAGCGGAATTTATCCTGCCCAGAGGATATCATGAATAATGGCTTTGGTCTTTGCTGAATGCCAGTACCATCGTTTAAGTACTAGAAACCATTATCATACAGAGTATCACCGTCTGCTGGTCGAGTATCATCGTATCCCACGTGGCACGTGTACCTACTCTCCCACGCGAGGACGATGAGAATGACCTCCCGCACAGATAAAATGCACCGCTCTGATAGTTTGTACAGTTCATTGACCCGTATCTATAAACGAAAGTCTGCATGTGGGATAGCCCGGCGGCCCCGCAGCTGCCGCGTTGCCTAGGCAAACAAGGACGCTGCAGTTCCCAACCAGACGACTGATTACCTCCCGTCGGTACCTGGCCCACATGCAATGCTGAGCGACATGTCCCCCCCCCCCTCCACCCCCGCCGGCAGACGCAGAAACGCAGCACTGCAAACCGGATCTATGCACGGCTGCAGCGCCGGTGACAACTGCGCAACAGTGCAGCGATGCAGGACCGACCGGCCAGTCCAGCTGCTAGGGATTCGGCGGGCAAAACTGGGCGCCGATTCACACCGCGGCACCGCCGGCACTCGCAGCCATTGTATATGTAGGCTGATAGATAGCCATTGCAGGCTGTAGCGGGTAGCGTGTAGTCATTGTCGAGGGTGGGCCGAGGCAATGCACGACGTCACGCTCACGATTGGACACGACAAACAACAAACTCGGGCTAAATGGGGAAACAGTGTCTGATGAAAATCGCTTCTAATGACCACGAAGCCTGAACATGCAGGCGAATTTTTCCACATAAATTGTAATTATCCTGAATTTAGGCGCAACTATCCCATTGCAGGTGTCAAAAAGCCCAGCTAGTTGATTCTTGCTGCGAATAACCTTACAGCAAATGTAGGTAGGCATATGGAGGTAATCACAGTCCGGAAACATTAAGACGTAGGAAAACTATGTAAGAAGGTAGGCAAGGCAATAGGCATGGTCTGGCCTGCATTCACATTTTCTAGCTCCTATGCAGTTGTCCAATTTGGTTATGGGCACAAAATCCCATCGATTACAATCCCACCAGCCACTATCACTGGATCAGATGGACTTTGATCGACCTTTAAAGAAGCTTAACTCCGGCCCACAGCGGCCCAGTTCCACCAAATCCCACCATGGCCATTTGGCCAACCAGCTGCGTCTCCCAGCCCGGGACAAATGCTCTCGGACGGACATTTGGCCGGGCAGCAGAACCCAATAACCGAGTCCGGTGTCCAATCCTAGCCACATGCTGCTGTAATTACCGACAGAGCATCGAACGACCTTCGCCGAGTCGCCGGCCAGAATCCGTGTTCGACAGCACAATCGATCGCGGGAGGGAGAGGGAGAGGGAGAGGGAGAGGGAGAGGGAGAGGGAGAGGGAGAGGGAGAGGGAGAGGGAGAGGGAGAGGGAGAGGGAGAGAGAGGGAGAGGGAGAGGGAGAGGGAAATGGAAAGGGAAAGGGAGAGGGAGAGAGAGAGAGGGAGAGAGGGAGAGTGAGTATGAGAGAGAGAGAGAGAGGAGAGGTAGAGGGAGAGGGAGAGGGAGAGGGGGAGGGAGGGAGAGGGAGAGGGAGAGAGAGGGAGAGATAGAGATAGAGATAGAGATAGAGATAGAGATAGAGATAGAGATATAGATAGAGAGAAAGAGAGAGAAAGAGAGAGAGAAGAGAGAGAGAGAGAGAGAGAGAGAGAGAGAGAGAGAGAGAGAGAGAGAGAGAGAGAGAGAGAGAGAGAGAGAGAGAGAGAGAGAGAGAGAGAGAGAGAGAGAGAGAGAGAGAGAGAGAGAGAGAGAGAGAGAGAGAGAGAGAGAGAGAGAGAGGAATTCAGAACATGCAGTTACTGTCAGTATAAGTTGCGTTTCTACCTTCCTAAAAATATGCTGCGGTCAAGCGCAGCGTCCGTATTCTCCCTAAATGTCATATTACTTTGATCTCGTCTCAAATCATACTCGAAGTCGAGGACTTCCACCTAAGGTTGAAGTGTAAGTGGAAGTGTAAGGTGGACCACCTTACACATTAGATAAGCTGTATGATTTTTTTTTCTATACGCTTCTTCGCTTTTGTCGGGCTTGACTCAAGGACCATCTGTCAGATGCGCATCCAATTGACTATTGGGGCAATCATCGTATATGGTAGGGCTCTTCGAGCACCACTTACTGATAAACTATCGATGGGAACGGAGCAAGAAGTCGACAAAGTCCTTGAAATCGGAGGGCGCCTATGACGGAGTGGTTTATTTGAAGTTGCCACCCGACGACAGACACCAGGCAGAAGCCATGGGTGGGGCTGGAAAAGGTGACAGAAGCGTTCCATTGACAGTGTCCGGTTGTGTTGTCTATACGTACTCGTATAACACCAAAACTGGACGGCAGAGCAGACATTTGTCTCAACCCAAGTATCCAACAGTTCCTTTGCGAAACCATCCACACTCCGTAGTACAGGATAACAGATGATAACCCAGTTGGTAAAGCATGCTGCTTTTTCTTCAGTCTAGCAGATGCAAGCAAAGTCATACACAAATTCAGCGTTCAGCTTCGTTTAACAATGCCAGTCACATAACGACAACTTCCTAATTTTCAATTCAATGCCTCCGCTAGTGACTGCCTAGTGCCTAGTCATGTCTGTGACCCACTCACCATCCACCGAACGAAGTCGTACGAATAGGACACGCTATCCAAACATCCACAGCAAACATTTCCTGGATACGAAAAACGGCAGCAGTCGTCCCCAGCATGGCGTGATGCGATGGCGGCATCGCCGGACATAAAAAAGGTGGACGACCCAGCCAGGACCAGCCACCAACAGCGAGTGTAATTCAAATACGGTAATTCAAATACGGAACGACCAGTGCCTCATTCCGCCCGGGTGCGAACGACAATCTCCTCCGCACCGTTCCGGCCCGTTCAGAGGTTTGTCCTTCCTGTCCTACCCGGCCCCGGGCCCGTTCAGGCATGGTGCCGGGGCAGCCATTGGCCCCCGTATCTGGTAACCGGGCTGAGGTCGTATGGTCCAGTGACGAATGCCACGGACGCCCGTGCAGGAATTCCAATGAATCGCGCTGTTGCAGAGCAAGTATGTGCTAGACTAGCCACTGCCAATGGCAGCGGCTACTGCTTTTTGCTATGCTGAGACTCTCGGGAAGCCACAGCAGAAAACATGCACAACACTCTCGCTACGACAGTTTGGGGTGCCAGTTCGATGGCAACCTACGCGCTAACTACGCAATGGTAAATCATCATTAAATTACATTAATTTCAACAACACACAAACTGGATCAGCGCTGTTTGGTAGGAACGGCAGTCGTGCTGAAAATTGATATTCGAATGCCGCTCCAAATTATACCCGTTCCCGACGAAATCGATCACGCACCAACCTCCATTCCATTTCGATTCACTCCCATAATCAGACGACTCACAGCTCACGGTCTCTGTTCAGGTGACCTTTCAGCCAACTGTTACGAGCCGTCAACCCGTCCGACGTGACCGTGACCCTTGTGACGGCCGTGACAGCCGAGTCACGTCACGTCACGTCACGTCACAGGCCGTGACGGCGCGAGGTACAGAGCCTCTGCGATCGACCGTGTGCGCGCCGCGCGAGCCACCGTGGGACGGATTCTCAGGGCAGGTCTGGTGTGTTCGGGACAGAGCTCGACTTCCTATGGGATCGGACATGTGCGGGCCAATGATCGCATTCCGGCTCAGGGAGTTTTGAGTAGATTCTCATGGAAATAGCAGCTCAAGTTCGTTCGTAATGGCTCGAAGGTAATCAAATCACCGCCATCCGGGGGTAATAAAAGAAATCATACACAAAAAACTAGTGTAACAAATTCATTTTAAATACTATCGAAGCAGTGACGTGGCTGTTCTCAATAAATAATTATTGTCCTTGGAAATGGCATACGTTGTTGATTGGTCTAATGCATACTCGTATTGTGGTACACAACTGGAGGTCAGTGTCGATCCACATATTTCCGGAATTCACAGAGACTTCAATGAACGTAACGATAAACGTAAACCCCATGCAACGTAAGGAATGTATCGATTTACCCGGACGCTACTGATACAGGTTCGAGCCAGTTAAAAAAGCTGCCATGCCACAATACGAGTCAAATCACCAGACAGCATCGGGTAGCCTGTCTTATTGCCGGGCACCCACCGCGTCGTGCTGTCCCACCTGGCCCAATTTCCCGCCCAGTGGTCACCGGAACGGGACTCACCTTTCGTCGGGAGCGTAGTCGCCGGTCGCTCCTCGCACCAGGTTCAGCAGACTGCAGCTGGGCAGAAGGTCCGGCATGGTCCTCCCCTGCTGGGCGGTTACCGGTGCTTCCAGCGGGAGGTCGGCCGGAGGCGGGGGCGGTGGTGGGTCACTGGCGCGGCGCCGCAGCTCCACCGGCGGGTCAGCCGGCGGGTCAGCCGGCGGGGAGGCGGCGTGCCACTCGGTCGCTCTGAGCGCCTCCTCTGCCGGTATCAGTTCGGGAACACTGTCTTTTTCACCGTCCGCCTTTGGTTGGTCGTGGTAGTCCATACACTGCCATCGGCCGCATTTAAACGGAACGTTTGTCTCGATGCGCACCACTTTGAAGCGGCTCTGCCAGTCGCTGGCACTACCCGGGCTGCCTGGGTTACCAGCAGCAGCAGCGGCAGCGGCAGCGGCGGAGCTCGGGGGCGACCCCGTGATGAGGTCCATCTCGCTCGCCGACGGCAGCTGCACAAGAGCACTGGCCTCGCCCCCTGACACCACCGGCACCGCGCCGGGAACCAGAGTGATGCCAAATCCGTCGGCAGTGGGGATCGCCGGCAGCACGCCGGTGGCCGACTCGGCCGGCGTGGTCAGCAGCGCGAGCGTCGCGCCGCCGCCTCCCCCCGACGACGTGGACGCGGCCTCTGTCACCACCGACGCGTCCTCGTCAACAGACTCGTCGCCGCCGTCGGCCCACTCGTCCGCGTCCGCGTCGGCGTCGGCGGCCGCTGCGTCGGCGCGACTGGCAGTGATCGACGTGATCTGAAATCCCATACTGTTGCGGGCGTCGCCGTCCGATTCTTCGATATCCGCTTCAGGCGCGCTCGCGACCGCAGTTTCGGCCATTGCGATTGCAATGCTGGCTTCGGACATTTGTTTGGCGGTGACTTCGGGGGTTGGTGAAATGATGGCTTCTTTTGCGGATGTAGTGTTAGTTTTCGTTTCATTACTAAATGCAGCTACGGTTTCGCACGCACTCTGGTTCGAACCTGCCGCAGCAGTTGAAGTGCTGGTTGCGGTGGCCGTATTGGTTCCCTTGATAGCAGTGACGGCAGTGAAGGGCGTGGCTGTGGTAACGCCGGCGGTACCAGAATCCACACCTCCACACGATTCCGTCTGACTGTTGCACACCTCGCCGGCCCCAATAACCACGATGCCGCTGTCTCTGCTCGTCGGCTTACTCTGCGACAGCTGACCCTCACGATTACCCTGGCGACCTTCCACGCGTTCCGTGGTCAGACTAGCCGGTTTATTCCGCCTCAGGGGCGACGGCGGCTGCTGTGGAGACCGGTGTCCCCTGGTAGCTCCCGGTGACAGAGGTGAGCGAGGCTGACCTGCGGAGGCAGCGGTCTGACGCACAGACTGGTGACAGATTCGGATCGAGCTGGGCCGCTTGTGGGCGCCAGAAGAGTGGGACTCCGAGGTATGTTTTGATGCCGTTGAGCTGCTCGATACACTGGCAGTGGCAGGCTTGTGACCAGATCCAGCGCTAGTTCCCGGGTTCGTCCCTGAGACAGTGTGCTCCGATTTCTGCGCAGCACCAGAGGCGGTCTTTTCGTGACCACCAACCACTACTCCTGCCATTGCCGCCACCGCGGACGCCACCGCCGCCGCCGGAGACTTGCGCGTCCCAGTCGGAGACGGCTCGGCCACCGCGCGACGACCGCAGCTCTGCGAGCGACCGGCGATGTTAGGGGCACTCTTCTGACGCTCCACTGTAGGGGACGAGTGGGACGCCGCTGAACCTCCAGTCTGCCCGCGGTGACAGGAGACAGCGTGCGTCGAGTGCTGAGCGTTAGCGGCAGAGCCTCTCTGATGCACCGCCCCATACCCCGTGTAACTAGATTGAGACGTTGTGTGACTGCAAGACACACTCCTCCGCACCGCACGGTGCTCCTCCGTGGAACGGTGCTCGGTCACGTGATGGTCAGACGAGCCCCGCTGACCGGTCACGTGGTCAGAGAAGGTCACGTGCTGAGGACGCTGGCCGGCTGAGGCAGAGTGCAAGACATGGTTCCCGCTGGCAGTGCGGTGGGTGTCGCGATGGTTGACAACCATCCGACGCATCTCCGGAGAACTGGCAGCGTGACGGCTGGCCCGCCAGGACGGCTGGCGCGGCTCCTGAGGCGACAGGGGGCTCCCGTGGCTCCCGTGGCTACCGTGGTTACCAGTACTCCCGTGGTTGCTATGACTCCCGATACTGATATGGTTGCCATGTCTATCGAGATTGTTGAAGATCGTAGGGTGGTGTTCCATGGCGCGAGAACTCGCTGCAGTCGACGAATGACCTGAGACGACCAGTGACACCGGGCGGGGCTGGCGACCGGACGCCGTCGAGTGACCCGAGCCTACAGAGTGACCCGAGGTCGCCGAGTGACCTGAGGTCATCGAATGGTGGCTGTTCGGAGCGGCCGGGCGGGCGGGCCGCTGCTGCAGACTAGAAGCGGAGCCGGTCGGGTGGAGAGCCGGTCCGCCGGACGGGGCTACCGGACGGTCCGGGGCAGCCGGACGGTCCGGGGCAGCTGGACGGTCCGGGGCAGCGTGGCCGACACGGACTGGTGCAGGGTGACCGGAGTGAACCACCGCACCACGGTCGGGAGGCGCCACCTCGGCGGAGCTGCCTGGAGCCTTGTGGTGCTTCACAGCACCAGACATACTGGTGCAGAGTTCTTCGAAACAAAGTGCCTGCGTGGGGAGATGATGAAAGATAACGTCAAAAGATATATGGACATCCATCACAAATCGAGACGACATTGCAAGTCTTACTGACCAGATAAACCTATCACCTAACCTACTGACCTGGAAACATTAACCCGCGCCCTGGTGGGGTCTGTTTATAACGCGACCTGGTGGGGGGGGGGGGGCTATTTTTTGCCCCCCCCCCTCGTATCTCCGAAACTACTGGACGGATCCACAAAATTCAAACGGCGTTCGAAAGGCCTGTCAAATTTGTCGAGAAAAACCAAATTTCATTGACCTCGGGGTCACCGATGACGTCACAGGTCAGGTCAAAGTTGAAATGTTTCACCGTTCACGGGTCTTCTAGGGAATGCGCTATAACACCGAGGAAAACGCATTCTGTCAAGAATCAGCGATAGGGCGTCAGTTGCCTAGTAGATATGTTGCTATTAGAGGTCACTGACAATACCAGGTCAGGTCACAGGTCAGGTCACCAAGGGTCACAGGTCAGGTCACATGAGCCCAACTTTACTAAGGTTGTGTGATACATGTTTTATGGCCAATTTTTCATTTCCAACTCAATGGTGTTGGTTATAAGACTATCAGGTACGGCTTAGGTCACTTTCTGGTGAAGTTCAGGTCAAGGTCAGGTCAAGGTCAAGCCAAAAAAGGTCAAATTTTAAAGTTGATAGTTTTGCATATAAAGGGTATCGATTCGATGCAGCTCGTCACGGGGAGTCTAATGGTGGTCTTTGTTTTGCGCTACGGGGTCTAGAATTGCTAAAAATTGAGTTTGAAAATTTGACGTCATCAATTTTGAGCAGTTTTTTCGCTATAACTTCGCCAAAAAAAGAGGTATCAATCTCAAATTTGGTATGTGGATGGAAGGCGGTAAGGACTATCACATATATTCCGGTTTTTCCGAAATTCAAAAAACTTTTTGGATTTTTCGATAATTATATCCAAAAAATTATTTTTTACTTTTTGGGGGTCAAAACCCAAAAATTTCAAAAATCCGAGATAGCAGTTTTGTAGCCCTGTCAATTCTACAGCTTTTATGTCTTTATCATTTTCCTGTATTTGCAAAGCTATAGGCCTGACAGCTCTTCCCGTGAAACCTTTTTTTGGGTCGAAAACGGCAAAACATGACGTCACTCTGACGTCATTTCCGGCCAACCTATCATAGCCTTTGGAAAATTTTTGGTCACAATGTGTAAAATTGATGTCCGGGAGGGTACTGAAAGTTTGGTGACGATCGGCGCAGCGGTTCTGGAGATATATCGAAAAGTCTGGAGGGGGGGGGGCAAAAAATAGCCCCCCCACCAGGTCGCGGGTTAACATGACACGCGCCATATAGGAACCATGACCATCAACCGACAACCATAGCACAACACCATGTAGTGCGGCTCACAGCGTTGTGCATTGCAAGAACAATGCCGCAGCATTGCAAGAACAATGCCGCACATTTACGCATCGGCATGCGAATATCTATGCATCTCTAATACGTCCGCAGCACGCGCTCAGAAGTCAGACAAACAGAAGCTCAATGGCATGCAAAAACAACCCGTCACACTAGCGAACCAAGGGGGAGGCATTGACGGCAAATCCACCCCCCCCCCCCCCATCGATAAAAATGTACGGTTTTTCGAGAATAAAACGAAAATTTAGCAACTTCTGAGAGGAAAAGTTTGTTTTAAGCTGCACGGCAGTGTATAAAGAATCGAAATCCGAGCAGTTTCTTTTTTCAATTTGCAGACTTTTGGGTACCTATGCAGTATGCCCCGCTCCCGCCCCCCGCCACGCAGCCTCCAAAACCGCCTATCTGGATCCGCCAGGGCAGGGCTCTGTCATATTTGGGATTTGGGAATGACATATATCGACGAATGGTCATAGCGATAGCATACCAAAACAGGCCCCTCCCTTCCATCTAACCAAACCAAAACAAACACAGCATTGAGATGACCTTGAGCTGGGGCCGACGAAAAGCGTTTGAAACAGCAGGAATGATGAAACACAAAGGCTGTAAGCAACATAAATGCACCAATGATGACTCTATCTGCAATAAACCCGATACACAGCTGCAAAATCAAGCCAACAACGGGAATAGCGATACTCACGGGCGAAGCAGACGACGACCAGCCAGCGAATGGCGCCGCGGGATCATTCATTCGCGCACTGGGGAGATCAGCTGATCGCGGGTAGAGGTGCAGCTTTTGTTACCGCGGTACTACCACACCGCACGGAGGCGTCACAATGAGGTTATCACGGAGAGAGGACAAAGCAAAACAGAACTGGTATCATATTCTAATAAAGATATTTAAAATATTTATGATGAAATGTTTCCAGAGACAGTAATGAGAATGCGCATTCCGTACAATGTGAATTTCAAGCTTCCAAGCCACATAGGTATTTCACTTTAGGACGGTCTTGAGACTACGGTCAGAGTTTTTTTTAGAATATTCGACTTCACAGACTTAAAAATGTACTATTGAAAATCCTTGCTTCTGCAAAAATAGACAACAGAAAGACGTCTGAACGGTCTGTGGTAAGAAGACATTGCATCTCTAGTATAAAGCCTAGCTAAAAAGCGCCAAGATTGTGCCTATGTTGAGACAGAAGTAGCTTGAGTTATTCACTTAAGTTGAATATTTTCCTTATATTTTCTCAAAAAAATATTTTGCTTGAAATGTAGGTACCTGTAACGATAATTGATAAAACAAAAATCATATGTGTACGTCATTGCGAAGAAAACATGTCAAGGACTTTGGCTTTAAAGTAGACAAGATTGGGCTAGGCGTTCGTAGCGATGGCTTTGACTCCGATCTTTAGGTACGATTCAAGTGACAAATTATTCACACATGAATGGGCTATGATTACCAATTCTAAGAAAATGCCTGCAAATTTCTGCTGAGCCTTGCACTTTCCACATACCTACCGATCAAGTAGGGCAATGGGTGGATCCATTTTTATTACCATTGCATCAGCTGGGACCATTCTGCGCCTTAGGAGAAACTTCGCACCTCACCCAAGAAAAATTGCAAGGACATCAAAGGACTGGTCATCCGCATGACGCAGATTGGAGCAGCCTGGCAGGCTGGCACACGTCTTCGCCGCACCAGTACCCTCTGCAGGCCACTGGGCTGAGCTATGTGTCTCAACAGACGGGCTTGCTGGGATGTGTGGGCTAACTAGGTGGCGTTAGCGATGAAGCAGCTATCGTTGGACGTAGATGGCGCTGTTATGAGCACCCTGCACTGAAAAAGTAAACGGCCGAGAGTCGACAGTAAAGTTGCGGAGCAGGCTTCTGAGCTGCAGTAGCAACAGTCAACACTTCAAATCCTGAGAAATAGCCGTAATAAAGTAGTACCTAAGTAAGCACGTCTATCACTAATATTTTAGTGTAAGTCGTGGGAAATACCTATGCTTCAATCTGTAGTACCTAAACCTCTACAAGATATTTAAAGTAAATATGTACAAACTACAAGGACAAACGCTTTTAACTCCTTTAGACAAAATCCTAAAAGGTGCACTTAGGCCTAGTCGTTTGATTTCTACGTTGCGAATTATCAGCTTATGTGATCACGGGTTAATCGTGATCTTGAACCACAGCGAAAACTGAGATAGACATTGGTCATGCGTTTATTTTCTCACGAAATAAAGAGGTTTTTAGACTGGAACGTTGCACTTGCGGCCTGCTGTGCGCTGCAACTCAATGCTTCGTCATGTATCAGGTGTCAGGGGGTGTCAACCCAAGCCCCTCTTCCGCTGGGGAGGTTAAAAACAGTCATTTTTAAACGTCTCTGCAAGTGCAGTGCTAACAACCCAACCCATTGACGCATTTATAAAAAAAATAACTACTCGGGCTCAAAAAGAGAGTTAGCCGTTGCCCGTTGGTGACTTGCGATTTGCTTCCTTTAAGCATAATGTATAAACTACTGATAGACGGACATCGATATGAGGCATTGTTAATAGCAAACAATTACATCAAGTGATGCTAAAAACGTCCGACTCTGTCGCGAAGGAAGGAAGGCGTCCACTGCCGGACCCCGGCCGTTTCTGCTCAGTTGCTGTGCTCCGCTGCTGAACAGTCGCTGTCCAGCCTGTACGACGACCTCGCCCTGAGGCGCGCCATCGGGACTGACGTCTTCCCCTTGACGTTTTCAGGGCGCTCCTCGAACCCCGACTTCCTGTGCCGGATTCCATAGCGGAAAGAGGATCAACCGGTGCAACCACCCTTCCCGAGGACCATCTGCAGAGGATCGAGCGCGTCAGTGTCTTGAGGTCATCAAAGATGGAGAGGATGGAGTAGCCGAGGAGGAGCCCCAGGTAGCCTCCCATGTCCGCCAAGAGGTCCGGGAAAGTGTACGTGACGAACGTTTCGATAGTGCGCCTCACAGGGCGGAAATGTATCGGCACATCGAACGCATCTCTCGGGCTAGCTAATGTCCCTGGCCGAACAAACAAACTGTAGCGCTGTCTAATACAAGGGCGTGGACAAGAACATGCCCGGTCATCGGGTTCCAATAAAACAAATGTTTCATACGGACTGTAACACTTGAACCACAGCACTTCAGCGGCAAGGCATTTTGATTTGTCCTTGCCGTCATCGTCGTGGCTCAGACTGCAGTAGAGCCAGTCAAAGAAGCAGCGTCTCCAGCAGCTACTCCTGCTGTAGGATGGGTCTTCCTCGCATGGTTGGCGACGCAGGTTGGGCATCACCTCTCGGTCCACGTGGATGACCAGCTCCTGATGGGAGAATGTAGTCATCAGGTCGAACGTTGTCATTTCTGCGTCTGATGGCAGGGTAAGGTCTCTGTCGTCTGCTCCCCAGAAGTCATCAAGTCCATGGAGGTAGAAACGGTAGGCGACTCTCGGGGTGTTGGACGTTTTAGCTTCTGAGCTGGGATTGTTGGTCATGTGAAGATCAGCCTGCGTCTGCTCGCCGTTCCGACTGATATGTTCATCGGTATACACGTCCAGCCGCCCAGCGCTCTGAGTTGTGCTATGGCCATGGACGTCCTTCAGGTCATTAGTAAAACGCAACGGGAGTTGTTTGGTATCTTGGGTTCGATCAAAAATCGTAGGCAAGCTCGATCTTTGCACTGTATCGTATTTTGCTTCAAATGGTAGATGTGCATCAACGTCTTTCTGGTCAACTTTTTGTTTTGCTTTTCTAAAGGAGCTATCAAAGTTCCTTGGATCTTTTGCGTTCTGATGTTCATCGTTTGAGAGCCTGGTTTCTTGCTTCAGTAAGTTTTCATATTCTGATGAATACGTCTCACGTGAATAACTATCAAAATCCATCGTATCAATGCAAGTACGGCAATAGCCGTTCTCTGTCTTATTTTCTTCGTATTCTGGTCGACGCATTAGTATTAGTATAAGGGGATCAGCGGTTTTGTTGAAAGTGCCGCAAAGTCCACCTCTGGCGTAATTCACTTTCCTCGTCCAAATACCAAAGGAGTCGTCATAGCTAAGCATTTCGTTGTTTCCGAAGGGAAACGGAACAGAAGCCATCTTATCAAGGGGAAGTCCGTTTCTGGTGTAAAAGTCGACAAGTGAGAGATTGCCGTACAAGTTATCCTTCTCTTCACTCGATCCACATTTGAGGATCTGACGTGTGTTCTTGTCGATGTCGTGGTACGGACAGACGGTGATGAGTGGCTGCTCGAAGTTGTTGTCCCAGCGGGTGACCGATCCGGTGGGCTCAGATAGCAGCACGGTCACCTGGAAGTTGGAACAAGGTATTTAATTAGTGCCATTCCTCATTAGTAATCCCAACCAGGCAATTAGATTCACAATCTTTCGATCGCTCAATGCGTATTGTTGCGAAGCTTCTATATGCCCAAGATGACGTAAAACACTGGTGGAAATTGTTTGCAACACAAAGCTGCAGCGAAGACCTTACTGCGCTAAGAAACTGCAACAGAAAACCGTTACCTATCACTTATGTTCTGGTCCCTTTTGACTGTTTTATGCTCTTGGAATTAATTAACGTAACGAGGCTAAGGCTTCGTCTACACATAAGCAACATATATTTTAATGCAAAATTCTCTCAAGCCACCCCAACTCACCTTCCAGACGACAAATGCGATCCAGGAGCAGAGCAGCGCCATTCGAACTGTTCGCTCCAGCACCTGGGCGTTCCTGCACGACCACCACGGCATGGTTCTGCCGCAGGACGTCCCACCGGACGTCCGGCAGCTTCATCCACCGTCCGCTCACGCCGGGACCCAACTGGCAACTGGTCAGTCGGGGCTGGCAAGTCATTCCCACGTGTTCCCCTAACTAGACTGTGTTTGCGATACAATGTCGTCACATGTAGACACCGCTGTTGGTCGGCATATGAGCAAACATACATATCCTCGAGTTGCGTGAATCATTGTTGTTTTGGTGTGATGTCATCGGTGCTAGGGTTTGTCATGGAGCTGAACCATGTTGTAACGATGCTTGTTCAGGTAAATACCTACAGCTAAATGGGCCGCAATTTATTGCGTTTGCGTAGGATTTACGGTATCCGAAATGTATTGGAAGCTGACCAAGAATGAATTTCATAGAATCTGTCATTTTTGACAAATTATATTCATCGAAATGTAAAAGCTCATTGTTCGTTATTAGAATGTGCTCACGTGTGCTGTGCCAAAAAGTTTTTTTTTGGTGCTTTTTGAGCGTCGCCGCTAGGTGGAAAGTACAAACCAGCTTGTAATCCCCGTTGGGCATTAAATTCGGAACACCCATTGCTACACTGTATACATCAAATGCTGCCCGGCACTCTCACCGATCAGCAATCATGAGCCATCATTGCTGAAACATCAATGGTATGATCTAGACTACACATTACATCTGACCGTAGAAATGCTACTCAAAATGATCGGTTTCTGTACAGATACACTTCACACGTCAACAGATTAAGTTCCAATAACATATAACAAGGCGTTAATCATATCAAGGATGCATCTCCCTCTACTTTCTAAGAGGGAGATGCATCGTTCTTGGGGTCAAACGACCCATCGTTCCAATGACTGTTTCTCAAGCTGTTTATCGGCACAGGTAAAATAAGTCCCCAAGGATGTCGATTCCGTCTTTGGATGCGTAAGCAATGCCTAACTCTGTCTCTTGGTGCTTTTCTCAAAGTCCAATTCCTGTCGAGAACTACTGAGCGTGCCGGGAGCACAACGCAAGGA